ACAAATACCATTTACACATGTTCCATTTCCATAACAACTATTTTCCTCAATGGTTGATCCACATTTAATTGGTTCAGGTTGGGGAATTGGAGTTTCTGGAGTTGTTTCATTACAGAATGTTCCGTTTACATTAGAGTTGCAAATACAAATACCATTTACACATGTACCATTTCCATAACAGGTATTTTCTTCCAATGTTTCACCACATTTAATTGGTTCAGGTTGTGGAGTAACTGGTTCTGATGTTGTTTCATTGCAATATGTACCATTAATGTTTGAATTACAAATACAGACACCATTCAAACAAGTTCCATTTCCATAACAATTATTCTCATCTTCAGTGAAACCACATTTAACAACAGGTTCTGGTTGAGGCTCATGACTTGTTTCATTACAGAAGGTTCCATTAACGTTGGTAATACAAACACAAATACCATTCATGCAAGTTCCATTTCCATAACAATTATTTTCTTCAATGGTTGATCCACATTTAACTGGTTCAGTTGGAATTTGAGTTTCTGGAGTTGTTTCATTACAGAAAGTACCGTTTACATTAGAGTTGCAAATACAAATACCATTTACACATGTACCATTTCCATAACAAGTATTTTCTTCCAATGTTTCACCACATTTAATTGGTACTGGTTGTGGGATAACTGGTTCTGATGTAGTTTCATTGCAATATGTACCATTAATGTTTGAATTACAAACACAAATACCATTAATGCAAGTTCCATTTCCGTAACAAATATTCTCATCTTCAGTGAAACCACATTTAACAACTGGTTCTGGTTGAGGTGTTGGAGTTTCAGAAGTTTCATTACAGAATGTACCATTAACGTTTGTATTACAAATACAAATACCATTTACACATGTTCCATTTCCATAACAACTATTTTCCTCAATGGTTGTTCCACATTTAATTGGTTCAGGTTGTGGAATTGGAGTTTCTGGAGTTGTTTCATTACAGAAAGTACCGTTTACATTAGAGTTGCAAATACAAATACCATTTACACATGTACCATTTCCATAACAAGTATTTTCTTCCAATGTTTCACCACATTTAATTGGTACTGGTTGTGGGATAACTGGTTCTGATGTAGTTTCATTGCAATATGTACCATTAATGTTTGACTTACAAACACAAATACCATTTAAACAGGTTCCATTTCCGTAACAGTTATTTTCTTCCAATGTTTCACCACATTTGACAGGTTCTGGTTCTGGAGTAACTGGTTCTGTATTTGTTTCATTGCAATATGTACCATTAATGTTTGAATTACAAATACAGACACCACTCAAACAAGTTCCATTTCCATAACAATTATTCTCATCTTCAGTGAAACCACATTTAACAACAGGTTCTGGTTGAGGCTCATGTGTTGTTTCATTACAATAAGTGCCATTCACACCAACATCACAATTACAAACACCATTGATGCAAGTACCATTTCCGTAACAAGTGTTCTCATCTATAGTTATACCACAGTTAATTTGTTCTGTTTGACCTGGTATCTTTGTTTCTGTTGCATTACAGAATGTGCCATTTGCACTTCCGTAACAAACACAAATTCCATCAATACAGGTACCATTTCCATAACAATTATTCTCATCTTCAGTGAAACCACATTTGATTATTGGTTCTGTTGGAGATTCAGAATTTGTTTCATTGCAATATGTGCCATTTACGTTTGAATTACAAGCACAGACACCATTGATGCAAGTACCATTTCCATAACAGTTATTCTCATCTTCAGTGATACCACATTTAACAACTGGTTCTGGTTGAGGTGTTGGAGTTTCAGAAGTCTCATTACAGAAGGTTCCATTAACGTTTGTATTACAAATACAAATACCATTGATGCAAGTTCCATTTCCATAACAAGTATTTTCTTCAATACTTGATCCACATTTAACTGGTTCAGTTGGAATTTGAGGATCTGAAGCAGTTGTTTCATTACAGTATGTTCCATTTACATTAGAGTTGCAAATACAAATACCATTTACGCATGTTCCATTTCCATAACAATTATTTTCTTCAATGGTTGATCCACATTTAACTGGTTCAGTTGGAATTTGAGGTTCTGAAGCAGTTGTTTCATTACAGTATGTTCCGTTCATACCCTCAACACAGATGCACAATCCATCAAGACATGTGCCGTTACCATAACAATTGCTTTCTTCCTCAGTTGTACCACAAATAATTGGTTCAGGTTGGAGAATCAGAATTTGTTTCATTGCAATATGTACCATTTACGTTTGAATTACAAGCACAGACACCATTGATGCAAGTACCATTTCCATAACAGTTATTTCATCTTCAGTGATCCACATTTAACAACTGGTTCTGGTTGAGGTGTTGGAGTTTCAGAAGT